AACTCACTGCTTCACCTCGCTAAACCAGTAATAAGACTGGTAAAGACGGAAGGTTGTGCTTGGTATGAGGTTAGCAACCCCATTCGTAAATATAATCACCACTGCTGCAGAAACCTCATGCCTCTAGCTTGAATCCCCCTGTGTTCCATTGGGAACATAAAGGAATAAGAAAAGAGAAAATCCCTAAAGAGATCATGGGCCAGTGGATCGGATCCCAGTGGATTAATGGTATACGGGCTCGCCTTGTAACAAGAAGGTCCTGGGTTCGAATCTCGGTGGGTGCGTACTGATATAGAGTCCCAAATTAGGACGAAACCGCTGTCCAATACTTCCAGGTTTTCCAACGGTTTTCTAACCAATATCAACTCGTGATGAAATCCTGTAACCAATCAACCAAATCTCTGCAAACCAATACCTGAACAGAGATATTCTTTGTTTGATAAGTACAATCAGGATCACGTCTTAGACTTCGCTGATACTTTTAAGGAACATATTAGACGAGACAGTGACATGGGTAAGTATTAAAACGACATCATAAATATTCCTGTTGTACATTTCATCGCGAGTCGATATCATTTAGTGAAAATTAGTTTTGAGTATGAAATGACTCGATATAGAGAAGCTGTAATAACTAGAGGGTATTGCCATGTTCTCTGCGCTGTAAATTTCTAAAGAGAGAGATGGAGAGGAGGTCTTAGACACTGATGAATTCAAGACAGACCTTTTTGCTCAAAAAAAAGTATGTACAATCCCTATTTCTACCTTGGTCACAGAGGAGAAAAACACAAATTGATTTCGCTAATCCAAGTATCTTTCCCTCATTATTACAATTATTATTTTCAGGTATCGGTTTTGTAGGGATTTTGTTTGATTGTATAGAGGATTTCACCCTGAGCTGACATCAGTTAGAGAACCACTAGAAAACCACCAGGGAGTACTGGACAGCTGTTTCGTCCTACTCCGGGACTCTCCAAAACCCGGTGGGTGAGTACTGTTGAAGAGTCCCAAACTAGGACGAAACAGCTGTCCAGTACTCCCTGGTGGTTTTCTAGTGGTTCTCTAACTGATGTCAGCTCAGGGTGAAATCCTCCATACAATTATTATTATTATTACTATTATCCTCACTTTGAACTATTTTCGTTATTATTATTTCACTTATTCCACTTATCCTTCTGAATGAAAAATATTTGTGTAATGTTAAAATTCTATCTTATCAAATGTCACATCATGTTCTGAAACGTTTTTTCCTTCTATTTCGTATAACTTTATACACACCCTTCCAACATTTATACATTCTATGAACTATTCTGCCTATAACATTATTATTTATTTTGTTACTTGGTGTTCAAACTATGGTTATAATCACAAACATCTTAAGTGCATTTCACACTTTGTTTTTATTTTATGTATTCACACTTCTTGTTTAACTCTCCTTACTGGAAATAATTTCTTAGAAACGATGTATGCATACGAATGAACAGCCTGATAATAATAATTTGCTTTGATCCAAAACTTTTACATCAGAAACTGAAATCAACAGTCTAATATTAGGAAGGATGTAGTTTAAGAACATTAGATGATGTCCATTTTCTGACTCTTGATAGAAAGTTCTTCATCTTAGTAAAGTCTATCTGAGAGTTAACAGGCACTGAAACAGTTGGATCCTCCACATAATTAACAAAGTTCATTTCATCAAAGTGGGATAAGTCATGCAAGAAGAAAGAAAACAGAAAAGAAGATAGGACAGCGCGTTGAGGGACACCGGACTTAGTAAGCAACAAAGTGAACACCTTTCCCTGACATACAGTGTACTGCTTTCTTCCTGAGAATTAAGAAAGCAGCCAGCCATTTGACAACCGAACAGTCAGTTTAAGTTTCAGTAATCTTGTTTAACAAAATCTTCTAGTGGTAATTCATGACCAGAAGAGTCCATTTGTTTGGGTGTGAGAAAAAATACTAGGCGCTGACAGTGGTTGGCAGTCGCGCTTCACATAACTGGAATTGGTAGAAGGTAGAAGTGATGGTTTGAAAGTTGGATTCCATGCCATCGGCCCAATAGTATATAATCTCATTTAACTTTGATACCCTGTGAGATCATGCGAGTGTGCTATTGCAGAGTATCAAAATCTAGGATGACACAGATGTTGAGTGCTCCTCAGTGGCTTTCAATGTTTCTCTAAATGAATTCATTTTGTGATAATTTCCAAAATCAATTGAATCCCCACTAACCAACAGTTGAAAATGTTAGATAAATTTGGTTACGTTATGAGGTATATAACTGATTTCAGTGTAGGGAATTGCTTGAATGCTTCAGGCTAAATACAATTGGAAAATTTGCTTGAATAAAACAAGAAGAATAAGTTGAGTAGAACGATACTGACGTCCTAATAATAATAATAATAACAATTTGCTTTATTCCAAAAACAGTACTTGTGATACAGAATGGAATTCTCAGCACTTCACTACAGTATTGCATCCACTTAGTACAATTACAATAAATAAAATTCTACATAGATTAAGTGTAATCTCAGTTAGTTGTGACGACAACATACTGGCATATCGGTAGCAAAGCCAAAATTGAACAGAGTGTTTAAGGGTGTTAGAGAGGTAGATACTACTAGCAAATTCACTGGCGTAATCGGTAACAAAAACATCGAGATATTAAGAGTGTGAAAGAACGAAGAAGAATGTTTTAAAAAGAGTTTGTGTGGAAGAGAGAAACAAAACAGCACATAGGAAAAAAAAAGAAAGGAAATAAAAAAACGTTGTACCTATAAATGATATGAGTTGGAAAGACGAGATCCAGTTGTTCTACTTACTATTTAATAAGTTATAGGTATCATGCCTAATGCTAAGTAGGGTATGGTTGAATTTTGAACTTGCTAGTACGAGCAATAAATTCGCTGAAAAGAGTCTCTCTTCATTAAATACAGTGTTCGTATTCTAAATCCCCTTAATTCAGTTGTCTTCATCAGTACATAACTATCATCCTGCTGGAGATCATTCCAGGATATTTAGGTCATTAGTCAAGCCTGTTGACCCTTCCTCCCTCAGCTACTGTGGAAGAATCCCACGGGCCATGAACTGAAGTCAATTCGTGATTAAACTAGAAATCAGTCAATTCCCTGCAGACTACCACCACTTAAAATTAGAGAATCACTCAAAATCAAAGGATCTTTAGCAGTCCTCAACAGTGACCCCGCACTCTACAAATCTAATCAAGGAGCTATGAGCTACAATGTAATCCTATGGATCATTCAGTTACCGAGTTGGAATTCAGTCACTATCAATTTATCCTGCCTTAATCATTTAATGCTATTCATAAATATCTACCTTCTACCTGATGTGGTGATTCACACTGGCAGTGCCTTCTCATGAGAACCTCACGAGATCGGAATTAATGTAACTCTGCCTTGGAGCAATTATAGAAGGTTTTTCTATTTGAATTTTAGATTAAGGTTGTTAATGCCTCTTGCATGCAAACGAAATCTCATCAGTACCCTGAGGAATTGGGCTAAGAAAATCTGCCTAACCAACACTCGTGACGATGAAATATAGTAAAATAGAAAACTTATTATATGAGAATGGATATCCAGAAACAAATGTCACGATCTATATGAGGAGAAGAGATTGAAAGAAATGCCTGAAAGCGGCTCGGAATAAAACTATATGTGTGTATGATTTCACCGTTCGAAGGAGATACAGCTGCTGAGCTACTGACGTGAAGGTGTTGAAAAATAATAAATAAAAAATATTCTTCGCTGCAACACTATGCTTTAAGGTCGCCACTCCTTGTAAAATTTCCATACATGTGAATGAGAAGCTATCGACTCTAGCTATCTCAACGTACAATTATTCATTTTAGTGTTTTTGTAGAGACACCTACATAGGTAGAACTACTCGGAAAGCCCTCTGCTGCCTTCTTCACCAATCCTTGACGTGTGATTAAGAAGAAAAGTCGTAAAGTCAATCAGGAGTTTCATAGTGGCATACCCTGAGGATCTGGAGCACAAGGTCGATACAACATTCAGTCATTAAATTTTAAAATTTAAGGTGTAACCTCACTTTGTTACGAATTCGTCTTTTCGACTGCAAAGCAGCATAGATAGTTGAGGCAGTTATTTACCAGAGGGATTTTTCAACCAAATCTGTTTGTTCAGAAATATTTGTTCAATCTTTCTCGCATCCGTCGACTCCGACACCAACCTAGAGTAGTTCATCTTCGCAGAGGACGTGGGATTACTGTGAATATCGCTTTTTTTAAAAGTTTGACCACGGATTGATTATAATAATTAGAGAAGCATTGAAAACCAGAACTGGACTACGGGACAGCTGTTTTATCAGCCTAGTTTGGGAATTATCGGCAGTTGGCACCCACACCCAGGACTTTACGGTTACAAGGCTAGCGAGCTCGTATACCATTCAGCCACTGGGACCTGATTCAATGATCAACCCAGGAATTTTTCACTTCTAACAATTCGTGATTGAGGGGAGCCATCAATCAGTGTCATCGGTGGGGAATTGGTAGGAGGATGAAACGGCTCTCCAGTTCTCTAATTGATATCAATCCATGGTCAAACTCTTAAAGACAAATATAATCCTTACAAACCAACTCTTGTAAATATTGTTCTGATTTGAACTGCTAACTTCATTATCAATATGACACTGTGTTGTATAGCTGCAAATTTTAACTTTAGTTTCACAATTTATCATTATTATTATATTCTGTTTGCATTCTCCTTAATTTAATTTGGTTCCCTTGATGTACATTGTTCCAAATGTCTATAAATCACATTCTATTATATAATTGTATCGCTAGATGCGAATTCGTCGCATATGCGTACTTGATTGCTTAAATTATGTTCTAAAATGATACAAATGTAGCAGGGCTTTTAGTTGAATGACATTCAGCGTAGTGCATATACATATAGTCATGTATATAGAAAGCAGAAGAGAAAAAACTTTACAAAATTTAGAAGGCTACAAAACCAATAACTTACTTCTGAGTTCAAGAAACAGTAGATTAAAGCAACCCAGAAACCCTGTGAAAGCAGAAATGAAAAGAAAGAAGACGGTAAAACTGAGTACATTACACTGAATAATTCCAAAAAATATACATCATGCTAATTATATAAACAAAAGCCAGACAACTTAATTGACAACAATACTAAATATTTCCATCGGTTTGTGTCCATTTTACGTTGAGTTCTTTTCGATAATTTAAGCATTCCCATAATGATGATTATGGAAGACGATTTGAGCAAGCAAATACGCTTTATCAGTAACTTCTCAGTAGGCTTTATATTTACATAATAATTAAATATTAGTCTAAAAAATTAGTTCCCTTTATGAATTTAGATAAAGCAATAAAAAGACGTAGTATGTCTGAACTGTGTAATGTATTTGCGCAACACATTTCGAACAATCTGATCCATCACACACAGACTTGTCATAGGAATACATATACAAAATTAATAGAGAGTTAAGAGGTGAGAAAATAGGTCAAGTTAAAAGGACATATTCAAGGTCAAAGTAACAATGAAGATCGCTAAACCAAATAACAGCGGTAATAGTACATCTACCCTGACTAATATTAAAACAAAATTTACCAAGGAAGGTTTAATGTGATGACGAATCGCTCAAAACAGTTGACATTTTTTGTGATTACATTTCCATAAACAATTTTTTCATCCCTTTCCCTATACCTCATTTAAGGGATTTATTACTTCTATGTACTAACAATGTTGGGTTTACCTTAGACGGCGACTGTTTTCACCAAGTTGATGGTGTTGCTATGGGAAGTTCGTTAGAACCCCTTTTAGCAGATATTCATATGTCGTACATTGAAAACTTATCGGAGGATTTGATCGAAAATGTGTCACTTTATAGAATGTATGTAGATGATATTATAATCATTAGTGATGATAAGTCTTGTTCTGCCACCTCAATTTTAAATCGAATGAATGAAGTTCAGAATAGCATATCACTTACATCTGTAGAAGAGGAAGATAATTATTTGCCTTTCCTAGACATATTGCTTAGTCAACGGGTGGATGGGTCAGTAAAAAGATATATTTATAGAAAATATACCTGGACAGTACAATATCTTAATTACCACAGTTTCTGCGGCCAAGCTCATCAGCGCCATGCGCAGTTTCGCTCAGCTCAAATTTCCAATTGCTAACCAACTTACTAATTGTGCTACGGATCTACTTTATGCTGTGCTTTGATAGTGTATTCCACCCCTCACTTGTGAAACACACCTCAGAGGCTGCATTATTTCGTCTTAAAAATATTCCTACGATATGTGAATGTGTGATCAACGTGTTTGAAATTGGTTACGTAAGTACAATACAGGACCTAGATAAAACAAGTTTCAGTTTCACTATGTTGAGAGGATTATTAATGGAGATTCACAATGGGGTGCAAGGTAGTAGACTCGAAATTTTAAATTTAATGTTATTTCACTACTTGTTCATGGTTCCTAGACTTGATACAAGTGTCAAAAAAAGGATTTCTTACAGATCGCTGCATATTTTCAACAATCACCATCTTCGCTAGTTGCTGGAGATCATATAGCCAGCCGGATAGGATTAGAAAGCAACTAAGAGGTCTAACAAAGAACTAACCAAGAAGCTATTGCTCAACATATATCTAAAAGAAATTGGAGGTACGGGAAGTGACGAGTTAGGGGTTTGTCCAAGGTTGACATAGAGACGATCGTATGAAGACAAAATGAAATTTTGTGATCAGTCATGGATCCGGCTGAAAAAAAGTAGCAGTGCACTAAACATGTCCCACTAAATCTCAACGTTTAACTCGGAAGCGAAAGATGATTATATCAGTAGTACTAAGAATATTTGAAAATGCATAAATTACAGAGACATTCTAATAACAAATGTTAAGCTCACTTACCTGAGTAGAAAGCATAATAGCATTGATATAATCGAATATAGGATCTAAATCTCTTTGATATGGTATTAAAAATATGAGTTGAGAGTAGCCCAATAGCGGCATTAAAAATATTATCGCTTTTATTGCTTTTCTGTAAAAAAAAGGAAAGGCGTAAGGAAAGAAAAAAAAAGATAAACAGACGTCAGACCAACTTTATGAACTGGGGTTAGGTAAAAACTCATAGACTTTGAAAGGATTTTAACTGAGAAGTAATTATGGATAAAGTCGTTTTTTACATTCATTGCTTTTCAATATTGCCTGCATTTCTAAGTGGGAGTTACTTATTTTATATATGTCTTGATGATAGAAGCTGGAGGACGTGTTTTATCTCATTTACGCTTTATCAAGTGAATGCATCTACGTTGTTGGTTTTAGATGGCTAGAGGTAATCTGCTGGAAGCCCTACCTGACCCAAGGTTGCACGCTTGCTGTCACTCACCAGTCATCAAGGCGTATCGGCAACCTTGCGTGTCAGATTCGAGCCAGTGTTACCAAATGCTGTGAGATCATAGATGTTACCATTGTACTTTTCGGTATCACGATTGACCTACTGTGGGACTGTATTACATACTTTGATTCAACACTAGTTAGCAACTAGTGTCATATGTCTAGTCCATTATTTAATGTAGATTGAAGTCAAGCATAAAATACCTTGTAATATTTCCATTATTTGAGCTATCTTGATCATCGCATATCTCTTCTTGTCGATTTCTAAGATTTCTTGTCATCTTACCTGCAACATTAAGAAGTAAAGACAATTAGGAGTCACTCAACCTCTAGTTTCACAGTCTGTTGACCCTTGCGATCTAATGTGTTGTCCTTCACTGCTCCACATAAGTCTTTCTTGGGCTACTCAGAAAGGAATTCCTCAGACTGAGAGGTGTATTAAAAATTGCCATTTAGTCAGCTCACTACTAATATAGTCGATGGACACTTGAACTCAAGTGAAAAAAGCTCTAAATTCATATTGCCTGACTTTCAGCACTCTCTTTTTTCCCATCTCTCCTCTTACCTGAAATTTATAGGGTTATATACTTGCATAACCAGGTAAAAATACTCAGTGATACTTCTTTTGGCCACTGTTTCATGTGATAGAGATATTATTAGGCGTGAAATCTACGAATTATTATGTCAGAATCATTGCCTCTTTTACCCTCTCATGAATATATGTAATCTATGATGAAATTATTTCAATTAACTTGTAATTTTAGCTGTCAAAATTACTATGATTCTACACTTTTTGTACCTGCATCGGTGGCATACAGGTAGAATGCTCGCCGACTACGCATGTGGTTCATTGTTCAATCCCTGGCCGCCAACGCACTCCTTTACCTATCTAGGACAGTAATAAGACTAGTAAAGAGGGAAGGTTGGGCGTGAGGCTACCAGCCCCATTCCGTAAAAATAAACACACCACTACCAACGAAACTTCAGAGCTCTAACTTGAAGCTCTATGTTCCACTGAGAACGTAAACAAATACCAAAAAAACTGCTTTCATCAATCCTGTGATATTGTTTTTCATTTCTACTCTCACCGTTGTCGAGTAAATTAGATGGAACACACCACCGAATGCTGAGAATTCTATACTGTGTCATTAGTACTGTTTTGGAATATATAGCAAATTATTATTATTATTATTGTTAAGTCACTGACTCGTGTCCAATCAAAGTATCTAATACAGTTCTATAGGAGGTCATCGGTCAAGAGCCCGAATAATTCAGTTGTACTGTCTGTGACTGTGACAGTGTTTGACACGGGTTCGATTCTCAGTAGAGATATGACCTTAAGGTTACCAGTTGAAAACCCCAGCGACTACCTGTCCATTGGGATAGAATTTAATGGCCTGCCGATCAAATTATAATTTCCGCCTATTCTAGAAACTAATATTTGAAAACTAATCCATTGTCCACTCGTGACTGACCATAAAATGAATCTTCCTGGAGTTCCACAGGAGAGTTTTGATCACTAGGGTCTCCACTAGCTCGTCGGTGAGGAAACATACTCACCGATGAAAATGGCTGATGAATGTATTTTGCATTGCGAAGTGGTAAGAGTAAGAACTGATTGGTCATTGGTTCTGTCGTAGTGATTCAATGTTCAACCATCATGCCTTGTAATCGGAAGGTCCTAAAAGGTGGATCCTTGGTGGTAGGATAGCGGGTGCATGGTGCTTAAAATTCACGAGGTTGGACGAAATATTTATTGAGATTTGCCTGGTTTTCAATGGTTCTCTAACTGCAAACATTTGAGTCATTCAGCTTTAAATGAATTAATTCCCTGAAATACGAACATTAGAAAATTGGTCTATTACCTGCTAGATACAGAGCACAGCTTGAAGTGGTTTGATAGTTTGACAAGAAGTCATGAGCAATAGATAGCCATCAAGTCAAATATTAGAATAAAGGCTGGGTGGCGATATTTGCTCACGACGTGTTAATGATAGTTGGAATTTATGGTTTGACTGCTGAGTTGTGTCTTAATGGCTGGATCACGTGTGAGTTAGCCTAGTAACCTGAAGGTTCACTTTCCGATTCCAGATGGGATGATGGGTGTGCGATGATGAAAGGCGATACACTAAGACGAAGCATTGCGCGCTCCAAACAGCATAGGCTATTGCAATTCGCGTCAAACAACCAGTGCTCTGTGTGAGAAAGAAGCAAGTCCAGCCAGCCAGCCACTACTACTGCCCTGGTTGGCCTTCAGTAGAGACTATAAATTCATGAATTTGTAATATTATCTTTCCTAATTTTTCTGACATTCAGTTTATTTTATTTTGATGCTATTCAGCTGTAATCTATCAATATTATTGATTTGATGTTATTTAGAAATTATTGTAGTTAATAACATTAATTCATTCACTATAATGTATATATAACTGTAGAGCCTGATGGTGAATGGGTTTTCGAAAAGAGTACTCTTTGTTCCGTATCCATTCTTCTGAAAAAATTTATCGAATACTTCAGGGTGTCAGATGTTTCTTTAAATGATTTGAGTTCATCGAGAAATCAACGTTCGCTAAATTACAGTTCAATACTAAAATTTCTTTTCACAACTGATCAACAATTCTGTATATCATTTAGAGGACTACTGCAAAACCTGGGAGTACTGGACAGCTGTTTCGTCCTAGTTTTGGACTCTTCGTCAGTACGCATCCACCGCCAGGTTTCGAACCCAGGACCTTCTGGTTACAAGACTAGCGAGCTCGTAGACCAATGAGCCGATGGGACCCGATCCAATGGTCCTTGAATTCTCACTTCTGCCAATTCACGACATAGCGCGACCATTTCGCAATGTCTTCGCCTTGTAACCAGAAGGTTCTGGGTTCAAACCCCGGTGGGTGGGTACCGATGAAGAGTCCCAAACTGGGAAGAAACGGCTGTTCAGTACTCCCAGGTTTTCCAGTGGTCCTCTCCTCCATGCAGTCAGACAAAATCCCTACAAATCCAATACTTAAAAATTCTGTATATGTATGCCAGAAATGCAGTCATGAATCAAGATCGTAACCGATAGTCACAATTACTCACCGTAATTCTTTGACACTTAACGAAGAGGTAGACGATGCCAAGTTAGTTTCCATACTTTTACGTTGTAAGTATTTATCACCTCGTGCGCGTTGGAGAGAAGAAGAATTTCCACTGAATTTTATACTGTCAAAATCACAACTAGTACTATTATTATTTATACTAATTTTTGGAACATGTTGATTCGACATCTTTGTTTTATCCCCTGTTATAATTGTTATATGCGCTTTATTCGGATGAGCTTCAGAGATACTTGGATTTGGTGGGGTAATACAACCAGTTGTCCCGCAAGCTGATCGTGTAGATCGTTTCAGCGAAGGTTTTAAGTATTTTGTCCTTTGTCCTTCTATTGTGACAGTTGTCGCTGATGAATCTATTTCTGGCTCAATTTCGTTTAATGCTGATTGGATTTCTTCACGTATATCAATATCATTATTATTATTATAAGTAGTATTACCCATGATATTATTATCCGACTTATCGACTCTATTAATCAGTTGTTGACATTTAGAGTCGTAGTTATCAGTATTCTCGGCATTATTTCTACCCTTTCCATCTTGGATAATTTCATTCAGTAATGGTGTTTCTTTGGAAGAAGAAGAATTTGTCAATTTCACCACTGGTGTAGACGGTAGTGTCGTTGTTGTTGTTATAGTGGCCGTCATCGCTATTGCGGCTTTACTCGTTATACTTTGATTATCTGATGATGAAAATGCTGGGGGGCATGTACTACGCGGCAGTCTACACTCATTGGTTTTATAACTACTCGGTGCTCGATTACGATTTTTTGTTCCACTTGGTTGACCTCGAAGTTTTGTTAGAAGCATAAATATTGTTATGAACATAATGAGGAAATTAATCTGAGGAATTATAAACAAAACAAGAAGAAAAAAAACACATGAAAAGAATTAACAGCATGAATGAATTTATTCCTATTCCCTGCAGTGAAAGTTGTAAGTTTTAAGGAAACTAGAAATGTAATCTTAGCATAATGTGCAAACTGCGTGTATATGAATCGCCGGTAGATTGACAAATGTTTCAGTGGGTTAGTGGTGGGACGCTTGACAATCACGCATGGGATTCAGCTGACGTACACAGACGAAGCATCACAGATAGGACTTCAAGTGAACATAGGAAAACAGAGATGGTAAAGATTCCTGGACGACAACAACAACATCAACAACAGACAACAATCAGCATAAATGGGAGAAATCTGAAAGAGACAACCTCCTTTACCTACCCACCTACCTACCTAGGAAACATCGTTTCAACTACAGGCGAACGGAACTGAGGACTATATCAAAGCAAGGATGGAAAAATAAGACAAGTTTTCATTACTCTCAAGTCTGTGTTGAGGTCAACAGCACTACTCAGCATGAAAACGAATATAAGATCCGGATATTCAAATCCAATATGAAGTCAGTGCTACCTACTATGCGGATTAGAGACTTGGCGCGTTATAAATAGCACCTCGGAAAAACTACAGACCTTCATTAACAGCTGTCTTTGCTCAATGCTAATCAAGATCAGATAGTCGACCAGAAGAGATTAGCAACAGAAAGGGATCTCTAGCAATCATTGAACCAGCCTAACAGAAACCAGTTGTGCACAAAAAATATGCAGGAAGAAATGGAGATGGATTGGCCATACTCTGAAGAAACGATCAAGTGAGTGACATCACTAGACAAGCCATTGCTCGAGTGCAACTCGAAAGGGAAGCGGTGAGTTGGTCGTCAGTGCAAGGCTGACTTGGATGAGGTCATTTGAAGAGGAGATGAAAGTATGTGGTCAGACTTGGAGTCAGGTGGAAACTCTAGTGGAGAACCGAAAGCAGTGGAGAAGCGTGGCTGAAGCCCTATGTTCCTCCAGGAATTAAAGGATATAATAAATAACAATAATAATAATAATAATTGGGCATGAGGCTAATAACCTCACTCCGTTAAAATAAATTCACTGCTACCGGAACTTCAAAGTTCTAGTTTGAAGCTCTGCATTTTCCCTCAGGAAGGCAAAGGGCAAAAACATTCCTGGTAATATTGAAGCTAAATGTTTAGTCTTCTAGTACTCCTAGTTCAGACGGTACAGCAACGTCTCATGATTACAATAGTTTTATTTTATGTGGTCTAATGGATAAGTTTTATAGCGCTTGAAACGATGGGCCCTGGCTTCGACTTTCCAGTGAAAGTCATACTGAGGACCGAAGATACTTAAAGATGACGGATCCTAAAGTGGACGCAATCGGATTCCTAGATTCCACTGCCAGTCACTATTCAGTGAAATGACTATCTTTATTTGAAGCATGACTTGACGATGTAAAGACAATCAAGTTACAGCCCTAAATTGGTCTCGTTATAAGTCTACTGCTGTGTGTCGGTGGCATAGCGGTAGAACGCTCACCAGCCACGCATGTGGTTCGGGGTTCGATCCGCGGATACCAATGCACTCTTCTGCTAACTTACTGTTTCTCACCTAAAGATCTTAGAATTTGTGTGATATTAAACAAATATGGTTAGCAATGTCTAGGCGTTCTAAAGTCTTGCCCTTCACGGTCTGCTGTATCATTCAGTCAACCACAGTCACCCTGTCTTACAGCTGTTTTCACTTCACTGGCTTTGGGCAGCCTTCCTGCTAGTGATCACATGAAATGTGATATTGTCACATGGCTGTTGAGGAGGCTTGATAAAGTTTCGGGGTATTGTGTAATGATAAGGTGGCCTCTAGACTGGTTCACAGTCAATGCAGTGATATTCGAAAGATCTGCTTAAATTTATATGGGTAGCACATGTTACACTGCTCACTATCAGATGTAATCTTGTAAACTATTTCAGAAGAATTATGGAAGTTATTTTTTCTCGTAAATCATATATGTACTTGTATTATGATTTAAAAGTTAGTCTAAGCGAAGAACATTCCTTTCAGTGAATTCTCCCTAGGTTCTTACAATTATAAAAGATGATATTTATTCCTGTCACAACAAAATGGCTAGTTATTCGATGGATACATTTTTACGTCGAATAACAGATTAGTTGTGGGGTGACAGAATAACTGGGCTATGCCAAGCTAGAAATTACTGTGAATTGGGAGACAGTGGTAGTTATTAGTGATTTTATATTTATACAGTTTAGGGTAAGGGAGAATTTACAAGTCCGTTCAAAGTTGTAAGAGGTGTTTGGGGTGATTGGGAAAAAACGGTATGCGCTAAAGAGTAAATAGTATGTGGCTTGTGGTGAAATAAAACAGGTGGAGGTGAATACTCAAAAAAGCGATAGGATAACTAATAATAAGTTAGGATATCGCATAAATGGAAAACTCGATAGCATTGATGGAATGTTAGTCGAAAGATAGTACCACCTGCAAGTCGTACAGAAATACCAAAAACAGCGCGCACGCAACTGCAAGTTGACACCAGTCCTACAACGACAGCTGGTATTGAATGCAATCAAGCTTCTGAAAGCTGGAAAAGCAGATGGACCAGATGGAATACCCACTGAAGCACTGAAGGCGAACCCAGAGACGACAGCAGATATGCTGACTACGTTATTGCAAAAGGTCTGGAAGAAGGGAAAGGTGTCTACTGACTGGAGGAAAGGTAATCTCATGAAATTACCGAAGAAAGGCGACTTGGGACTCTGCGAGAACTGGCGAGGAATCATGCTCCTGTCGACGCCAAGTAAAATCCTGAGTCGCATCATACTGGAGAGAGTAAAGGACGCACTCGATGCAGAACTCCGACCAGAACAAGATGGATTCAGGAAAGGCAAATCACGTTCTGACCAAATTGCAACTGTACGCATCATCATCATAGAACAAAGCATGGAATGGCAATCAAACCTCTACCTCAACTTTATACACTTTGAGAAGGCCTTCGACAGCGTTGACTGCGAAGTAATTTGGAAACCACTTGAGTTCTACGGCGTAATCCAAATATTCATCAACCTTATTCAACAGTTGTACGACAACGACACATGTCAAGTGATCCACAACGGAAAACTCAGCGAGGCGTTTGGAGTAAACACAGGAGTCAGACAAGGCTGGCTGCCCATTATCACCAATGATATTCCTAATTGTGGTGGACTGACTGGATTATGCGTCAGACAGTGAGTGGGAAACGAGCATACAGGAATATCCTGGACCGACGTGAAGAACCTAGAAGACCTGGATTTGGTGCGGTGATGATTTATGTCTGATGTCACTGTCACAAAATCGAAGACTTACAAGCGATCGACGGAGAAACTGATCGAAGAGGCAGCAGGTGAACACAGACAAGACGGAGGCTATGAAAGTAACCAACCAACCAACAACAACAGCAACAACCAGCGCTAATCACCATCAACGGGAGGGATTTGAAATTGATTAATTCATTCACTTATCTAGGGAGCACTGTCTCAACGGAGGAACGGACGAGGATGTCAAGTCGAGCAAGATTCGGGAAGGCGAGAAACACATTCATCAAACTGAAACCAATCTAGAATTCTTCGTCACTCATCCAGCATCAACAACAAAATTCGGTCGGATTTCCAATACAAACAACGTCAAGTCAGTCAGCTGTATTATACGGATCAGAAACTTGGCGGGGGATCACAAAGAATATTTCCAGCAGCCTGTTGCAGACCTTTATCAACAAATGTCAACTATTGCTCTATACTGAAGATCAGATAGGCGAAAAGAATCACTAACAAGAAACAATGGGAAGAAACAAAACAGGAACCAATCGCCAACCAACAAATATGCAGGAGAAAGTTGAGGTGCATTGGACAGTCGCTGAGGAGGCCACCGCTGGGTGACATCGCGTGCGTTTCAGACCATCGTTCGAGTGGAACTCGAAAGGGAAGCGGTGAGTGGGACGTCAGAGCAAGTGTGGCATGGAGTAGATCGTGTGAAGAGGAGTATAGAGAGTATGGAATATCATGGATACAGGTGAAAAGTACAGCAAAAGACAGAAGCAAGTGGAGACATGCAGCTGAAGCCCTATGTTCCATTAGAAACTCAAGGGAACGACAATATTAAAAATAATAAATAGTCGAATGAAAGGTACAAATTATAATAAATAATACAGATAACAATAATAAATTACAATTAACAAAGTCAAAGAAAGAAGTGATAAGAAGGGAAATTCTTGGAGAGAAAAAGAAACTTTAATCCACGTTTGGCGGTGATAGGAAGAACACCTGAATGTGTTCATCTTAAAATACAACGAGCAGCTTCAGGTGTATGTATGAGACGAAAGCAAAGAGTGTGTGACTTCAAATCACCTCAAAATGTAAAGGCTATGTCGGCATCGATGTGATGTCCAGCATAGACCAAAAGTGATAAACGTTTATGCACCTCATTTTTCAACCTCATCTAAATGTCATTGAACCTGTAGATGAACTTACCGAAGAGTCGGTGGTGGTGTCACAACACAGACTTGGACCTAGGAACTATCGTTTCAAACGCAAAAGCGTTATTCACTAACTAGACCAGTCGAGGCCTTGAGATCTGCTTCTTGTGCAAAGGGTGGTAGTTGTTGTTTGTTTTTGACTGAATTTTAGTTTTCCCTATGATTGATTGGGTCGGGATATTCGGCCTGTGTTGACTTGTCGGGTCCTAATACAGACTCTTCCACGATGTCTGAGGACACCGCCGTTCCAACGGCGATAGAATGTTCACCGACCATGCAGGTGTTTCTGGGTTCAATCTCTAACCACCAACGCACTCCTTTTCCTCGCTAAGCCAGTAATAATACCGTTGAAGAGAGAAGGTTGGGCTGGGTATGAGACTAGCAACTCCATCCCGTAAAATAAACACGACTGCCACCGTAACTTCAGGCCTGTAGCTTGAAGCTCTTTCTGTCCCACTGGGAAAGTCGAGGAATAAAAAAATCTTATAGATATGTCTCATTTTAGAAGGATTTTAATATTTGATTTGTGAATAACGGTGTTCAGCTTTCCGCCCACTCGGAAAATAAAATGCGAAGAATCAATAGACAACTGAGAATAACTTCTTCATCAACTTACTGCAAGTGTGATTAAAATTGCTGTAACAACGAGGATACCTTCAGGATCAGATGTATTTGGTTCTCTCCATAATCTAAAATAAAGATATACGTCAGGAACCATGTGAATATTACAGAAAAAATAACGGAACAAACATGAGTGTAAACAGAAAGATACTAAGGTATAGACACATAAACAGTGAAAATAAAAGAAATTACATCATTAAAATATTCTCATTATGATGGGACTTGAACTGAGCATCCATTGTCTCAAAAGACAAAGCGTTAACCACTATGTGGTCCAGTAGGGGACAAGATTTCCATACTAAGAGCTAACATGCCAACACACACCGAATACTTAAGTCCAATATAATGCACAATTACCTTGAACAAGCGTGAAAATCATTCAACCTCAAAACACATCAAAATATATAAAATTTAAGTAGCCCCATAATGATAATTATAGAACACGATTTAAACAGGTAAATATGAATTTTAAGGTAACTTCTCCTCAGATTTAACAGACACATAATAAAGCTATTTATTCGTAGATCTTTGAAAAAATCTAATCAAAGAATTCTCGTTTAACTGGCGATACATGGACGACTCTTTTATCTCGCGTAAAAACAAAATTGACACAGAGGCCCTTCTCAAATGTCCAGCGTCGGTGGCCTACAAATCGGGTTCACACACGAAACAGAGGAAGACAATACGTCTGCAAAGGGAGAGACTGTCGAGATAACTCATCAATATCCAAGAGGTGTTCAATTATTTACAAATGTGATTCGTATAGACCATCCAATCCCATTACTTCATCAACTTGGTGAGGTAGCGTCCTTCAAACCTTCTTGGATATAACCCCTTTTGAATGATCGATGTACATAGCTGCATTGTAGCAGGTGAATTAACACAGCGTTGGAAGCTTTTGTAGAATAATGGTCAGATGGGAAACACTACCCTAGTTTATTCTGTAGCAAGTATCATTTTAACAGATTTTGTAATCTGTTGATTGAACGCTAACTAGTGTCATGGGTCTAGTCCTTTTATTTAATGCAGACTGAATTCTATTATTCAAGTCTGCATTGTGGACACCATGCCACTAGGTGACTCCTCATCATGGTACCCTCAGGATTGTTCTTAATAGATGGTTGGAGGCAATCAGCAGGAAGCCATGACTCAACTTGGTTTCATACTTGCCGGTACTTGTCAGAAAGGCGTATCTACAACCTGGAAGGAACTCATGTCTCTTCTGAGGTTCAAACCAGTATCACCTAGTGCTTCAGTGAGGAGGATTTCAGGAGGCAAATGACAAAACTGGATTCGAGGTTTGAACACAGCACTAACTAGGATGTAGAAAATATGTCATACTTTTGTAGAAGCCTTCTTGAAAGATCTAGTTGTACCGTTAATGGCATCATCAGAGCTGTACTGCCTACTTCATTATCAATATCATAATGTGCTATTATCGCTACGATTTTAGCCTTAGTTTCACAGTTTATCATTATTCTGTCATCTAATCACCATGTGACAGTGGTTATTTCCCCTTCTACCCCAACTGGTAGACGCATTCTACTTGATTCTATCGACCCGCATTGTTTCAAACGTCAATTGACTAATACTTTGTTACCTAATTGTAAGGCCTCATGAGAATTCTCATCATAACGTATTTGCTTGCTTAACTCGTTTTCTGAAAATATGTTAAACATGAATAAATATAAAAAAGACTATCGAATATATGGATCGACTAATACTCATTATTGTAATTATACAGAAATAAATTCAGGAGTTTTACACTTTATGTTGGGACACTGTGACGATATATTTATTATTATTATTGTGAATAAAGAAAGAACGAAGATATTTTCAGGAAAATACGAGCTGGTTTTATTATTTCGTGGATTCTCTCCAACATTAAAAGAAGAAATGATGGGAAAATTGAAAAATCCATTTTCAGGAAAGACATTTGGACTGGCCAATACTTGAACTATTACAGTTTCTGCCTGATAGGCTACACAAGGAGTTTGGTAGGATTGGTCTCTTCGGTATCAGAGCTAGGGTGTTATGTTCGCAAAAGATAAAATCGAAGAGAAACTTGCAGTTATCGAAAAAAACCTTATCGAAAATGGATACTCTCTGAAGGAAAAACCACTTGAACCGAAACCCGAAATAGTTGAAAAGAAGAAGTATCTATAAGAAGGGAAAACAGAATTAAAGATGTATACAGTTGGTGGATGGTGGCTAGCAGTGGAATCCATGATGCGCATTTCGTCCTATTTGGGACTCGTCAGCTGGATGTACCTGCATTTCTCAGTGAGTGATGATGTTCCCACCGAGGCTCAAACCCAGTACCCATAGTTTCAAACGCCAAAGCGTTATCCACTAGACCACTTGGGCCACGAGAGCCACCTCTTGTGCAACGGGTCATATTAATTATTGAATTGAATTTTTGATTTTCCCGTCCAATCAATCGACCCGACATGTCAACCTGAGACCGAGCACTTCGGTCCAATCAATCGACGGGAAAATCAAACATTCAATTCAAGAATTAAAGATGCATTGAGAAGAAGATTTCCCACATCTAAATTCATTCCACTGTAAAACACAGTACGCTCTTTATCCCAGTCAAAAGTACACGATTATTCTTCTCATGTTAACTCCAAATGCATCTAACAATCCACATTTCCTTTGCCACAGCAAGTGCATAGAAAGAACTGAGAGGACAGAGTCTACTAGATTTTCTGAACATATCCCTAGAGGTCTCTGTTTGAAAGGCAACAAAGTATTCTCAAGTACAATTGTCAGCCACACCTGTTAAACACGAGGCATATAGTCAGACTTTCAAAATAATCAATATACAGAGAAAAAAAATGGTTAATTCGGTTTACTGAAGCCATCGCCATCGAAAGACTTAGACACAACTTACGTGTACAGAAAGACAGTGGGACTAATCTCTCATTACCTTAATATCCCATAATTGTTTTGTTCATGTGATTTTGTATATTGTCCTACTCAATCTTGATAATTTTACTTCACTGCTCACTCCCACCCTCCTAAACTCTCTACCGAAATAAGTACAAATGGACTCTGTTGTTCTATCTTGCGATTTGTTTCTTGTCCATCATCATTTCGAAGAGAAATCTGAATTCAATCCACTTATCTAATTGTTAATATATAAATAGTTGCTCTTTTAATACTAAATAATTGTCTACTTACACCATCTTTGAAATTATGTTGCTTATACTCTCTATCTGCAACTTGAAATCAATGTAAAACAGTATGTTCAGACACCATTTTGTAGCATTTAATTAGTTTATTTAGGGTATATGCAGTTGAAGAGAGAGAATCCATGAAACAAAACCAGCTCGTATTATCCTGCGAATATGTTTGTTAATTGTTTATCCACACTAATAAAGGGAACCGGCTGTATAATAATAATTATTGTTATTATTATCCCGTCGGGGATAGAGTGGAATATAAGAATTCAGAGGCGCATCCTCATTTTTTTCTGTTCTCTGCAATCGTTTCCAGCTGGCTACAGGGCTGTCCATGGGTTCTCATCTCCTCCTCGTCTCCTCCACTTCACCCTTGAATTCACACTCGGCTAGTCGTTTCTGATTCAGGTTCCACGCAACTGATTCCTTGGCATGAGATTTTACTCAACGGCCCCCCTAGCCTGTGTCTGATCCATCACCATTTTTTTCTTGATATTTGTCGAGCGGGAGTCATGCTCCTGTCGACGCCAAGTAAAATCCTGAGTCGCATCATCCTGGAGAGAGTAAAGGATGCACTCGATGCAGAACTCCGATCAGAACAAGCTGGATTCAGGAAAGACAAATCACGTTCTGACCAGATTGCAACTGTACGTATCATCATCACAGAACAAAGCATGGAATGGCAATCAAACCTCTATCTCAACTTTATAGACTTTGAGAAGGCCTTCGACAGCGTTGATCGTGAAGTAATTTGGAAACTACTTGAGTTCTACGGCGTACCCCAAATATTCATCAACCTTATTCAACAGCTGAACGACAACGACATATGTCAAGTGATCCACAACGGAAAACTCAGCGAGGCGTTTGGAGTAAACACAGGAGTCAGACAAGGATGGCTGTCCATTATCACCAATGATATTCTTAATTGTGGTGGACTGACTGGATTATGCGTCAGACAGTGAGTGGGAAACGAGCAGACAGGAATATCCTAAACCGACGTGAAGAACCTAGAAGACCTGGATTTCGCTCTTGGATGACTTATGTTTGATGTCACACACAATCGAAGACTTACAAGCGAAGACCGAGAAACTGGTCGAAGAAGCAGCAAAGACAAGACTCCAGGTAAACATAGACAAGACGGAGGTTATGAAAATAACCAACCAACAACAGCAACAACATCCGACGTCAATCATCATTGACGGGAGGGATTTGAAAGAGGCTACTTCATTCACTTATCTAGGGAGCACTGTCTCAACTACAGGAGGAGCGGATGAGGATGTCAAATCGAGAATCGGGAAGGCGAGGAACACATTCATCAACCTGAAATCAATCTGGAAATCTTCGTCATTCAGCATCACCAACAAAATTCGGATTTTCAATACAAACGTCAAGGCAGTCAGCTGTGTTATACGGATCAGAAACTTGGCGGGTCACAAAGAATATTTCGAAAAGGCTGCAGACCTTTATTAACAACTGTCTTCGCTCTATACTGAAGATCAGATGGCTGGGCTGGACAGAATCACCGACAAGGAATCATGAGACTGAACAATGCAAGAACCAATCGCACAACAAATATGCAGGAGAAAGTGAAGATTGATCGGACACTCGCTGAGGAGACCGTTGGGTGGCATCGCGCGTCAAGCCCTCGAGTGGAACCCGAACGGGAAGCGGCGTGTGGGACGTCCAAGGGTGAGATGGAGGAGATCGTGTGAAGAGGAGTTGAAAGAATATGGACTAACATGGATGCAGGCGAAAAGTACAGCAGAAGACAGACGTGCAGTTGAAGCCCTATGTTTCACTGGGAACCCAAGGGAGCAGTACTAATAATACATTCCTGATCGATTCGTCCGTCGAGTTTTTAGTTACCAATTCTTTCTGGTCATCTGATCTTCAATACTGAACGTTTTCAGAGAAAGATCCAGGTAGAGTTTATTCGTTGTGCGATTTAAACAGTCAAACCAAACGGTTGAATTAAGTCTCTAGACCTGTAAATTACCCGACCCTTTTGATAAGATAATAATTAAGAGTGACCTATATTCAAGGGAACCCCAGCAACCATAGATGAGTGAATTTCCATCCTTGTGAGGGTTTCTTAATTATATACCACCTTACAATACGGTACAGGTTACCGAATTACATTTCGGACATTGGTCATTGTTGATGCTTGTATCTTTCCCTCTTTATATACATTTGATTACTGTGATTTTATCTGACACTGTGGTGTGGATTGTTTGTCAATTTACATATGCAGATGACTATACTTGTTTCTTGATTCCTTGCCTTACTGCGGCATAATTCTAGAGGAATATGTGTTTCATGTATTCGATTTCACAGCATCTGCAAATAACCTAATGAAATAAATTACCATTCTACGTAAATGCATTAGGACTGTTCAACTGATGAAAAATGATTTCTTCCAGCTAAATGATAGTACGTCTATGTTCAGACTTCTCTTCAGTGTCACGAGGATATAGCTGAGACGAACTTATGAAAAAAAAAATCTATCTTGACAATTACCACTTTTGCAGTCTATTTTAGAGGTATTAATTTCGAAAATTGCTTAGCTGTGAAGCACTTCTGAGTAGCTGTATTTCTGACATATTCAAAGTTTAATGACTTAGGCTTTATGTTCAACTCGGGCGGAAAAAGAATGATGAAAACAAGGGATTATGACTTACCGTGTATTGCCCAATGTCACTGATTTTGCAATTGCCCATGAAGATGTCAAGACGGCTGGAATCCCTGTGATTTGAAAAAAAAGTAAAATTAACACAAAATGTAAAATAAATAATAATAAAATAGAAGCCTTTTTTCTGAACAAATGTTAACATAATAAGTGAAATTTTCAGAATAGTTAATTGTGTAATATTTTCTCCTCATCCAGGATGTTTAAGTAAAATGCCATTCGATTACATATTATGGGACGCAAGTACCGCTTGATCTGAAACACAGACTAATTAATCTCTTATGACATAGTTTTCTTTCATCTTCGAGATTTGCACAGTTCAAAGCCAGTTAAAAAAATATGAGTGAGTGCATTTCGTGATTAGACAACATATTTGAATATTAAAATTCCTTAAGAATCAGAGAAAGTTTGATACCATGTGGCTCAGTGATTTGAAATAAGCCACTTAATAATAATAATTCTGAATCAGGTAACCCTTATTGTTATTTACTGATTACCGAAGAAATCTGCATCTCCATATTCAAAAGCAGCTTTATTTTCAACTGGCATATCCCCTTTCGATTCCCAACCCCAACGTTTCAACGATTTGTGTAGTGCAGTTTACTTTTATCCTAGGCTGGTCTTCTAAAAGACGACAAAAACTCATTCATCTTGAATTTAGCAGTATAAAGGTTGTTTAGAAAGACGACTGAAGCTTTTCAGTGAATCCATCTGCCTCAGAGAACTCAATAACACTAAGAAAATATAATCAACCCTCTGATACCATCAAGATTTTTTTTTCAGGATAAGTGAGACAAGTTGCTTTGAAGTGAATTCAGACAAGTAAATAATGCTGAGATGCCTGCATCGGTCGCGCCTCTTTCTGACAATTAAAGGAGGGCAACAAAATACGATTTTGTTTAGTTTTGCGTTAAACAGTTGACAAAGACATTTCTTTCTATCAGAAAATTGTGTTTATCTAATCTGTACAATTTCCGAAATGATAGGGAATTTTACCCAGGCTATAGGAAATTGAAATGTGCTCGCTTACACATCACATTCTTTTTCCCGTTTCCGCCCAACTGCCACTATCATAAGTGTTAGCATCATTTTAGAGACCTACAGGAAATTCACACCCCGGTTCCAAAGAAGAATCAAGGATCAGAGTGACAAACCTATAGTGGGGAAGATTCATCGTGATCTACAACAGGTGAACCTGTGGATTAGATTACGACATTTGTGTTCATTGAACCAAACTTTGTGTCAATAATTGAGCATCTTATAATATTTTGGTTTAGTTTTATAGTGAGTTGTATGAAACGTTTAGTAATGCATAAATTGACTAATCCGCTTAGTGGGGAGTTATTCCAATAGTTTAAAACCCACTCCTATAACTCTTGGATTGAAAATTTAACTATTGTAATGGTATACTTTGTGTCTCCATAATTTCATTGTTAAGGCTCCCCTATCAGCGGCTTACTTAAAACTCGGCTACAAAAGAGCTCTATGATTATATCGCATATAACTTCTCTTGTTCACTTTGTTTAAATACATTAAAACTTGACCTCCAGGCGTATTTTCTACTGTAGCGAGTATTTAAAATATTTACACAACCTGTTGATTCATAGGTGTGTAATAAACTTAAGGAAAATGCAAAATCGTCAGTGGCAACGTATGCTAATATATGTAGTTACTGTTCCTGCGTTATGTCTTTGGGTCTAAAAATGCCAAATACCTCGGATTAGTTCTATCTTATGACCTTACTTGGTCATCTCATATCCTAATGATGTCTAAGAAAGTGTTTCGTCTAGCCAACTACACCAAGAAACTCAGACTAACTGGAATCACTCAAACTCTACTTTCACAATTTGTCAACTCTCGTATCCTACCTATTCTATTTTACTGCTCCCCATTAGTCTTACCTTGGTTACTGAAAAAGGACTTTACCATTCTGTTGTTGAAGGTAGTTACTAGGACTGGTGGTGTAAAACTCAGTCAGCTCGTCACTACATTAGTGGATAAGCATCTGAATGCATGCAAAAAATGGTCTAAAACCATACTCTCCGACCCCTAACACCCACTCTATTCCATCTCATCAGATAGAACCAGAAATCAGTACAAAATAATATATGCTCATACAACCAAATATAGGAAACTCACTGATACCATATTTGACCGGTGTTCTAAGTGACATAGACAGTGTTAAGCGCGAAACCTATGACTTGCTTTGTTGTTAATAACATAATTTTGGCCCTTGTTATTTCCCCCTTATACTCTCTTATTTGTACTCTATAGTGAACAACCTTCTTAAACATACTTAGCTACCTAAAATTATTATCACTGGCTTACTTTATTGTACTTCACTCTATTCCCTCTTTTGTGTATCTACTGGTCCCGACTATATTATCACTATGAGTATTACAAAATTGTCCTGTCATTAACCATCATGTAATATTAGTTTTGTGGTGGTTTTTTGTTCGGCACTATTTAACTGACAATCTTGGTTGTGAACGCCGTTATCACCATCTTAAAATTTTGTATTATGCAGGATTACTCACACTATCACAACAAACACCTGCATTAGACCTGACAGCAAAAACCCTGAAATGTTATTTTATGATTGTTTAGTGTTGTTCAATCAAATTAACTGATCATCTTGGCGATAAACATTCTTAAGAACATTTCATAACTTCTTGTGTGATTATAGCTGTTACCGTTCACCACGCATACACATATCATAGCTTCCACTACTTAATACTGAAATATTATTTATTATTGTTATTTATCTTCCTTTCTATTTGGTATTTTTATTTGCATTTTCTTTGTTATTTTTGTGTTTCTTTTTGGTTTTTGTTGTTAATTTTATATTTATTTTTTGTAATACTCCTTCTAAATGTTTGATAAAATTAGATGCACTATTGTAGATATGTTCTGAAGATTCCACACTGTACCACTAGTAGTGTTTCTGGAATAAAAGACAAATTATTGTTATTATTATTATTACTCCTGCACTTTTTATAACTGGCTTTCAATCATACTTTTAGTGAATTTCTCGACGGTAAAAAAAGCAGAAATATGAAAAAATGGATTGGTTTACATTTGAGGTCAGATTATAATCAACTGTCAGTTAGTTATTTCATTGGCAGATCCTGGACGAAGAGAAAATGTTATGCACTAAAGTCCGTTGGAAATTTCGTCAATCATATAAACACTGTCAGTGATATAGTTAGCTATTTTTTGTTTTAAAAAACTTTCATCGAATGGTTGTCAGCCTTACCATGGGTTACATAACATTACCTTGTCTGATTAATGATGTTTAGTAGTGGTATCCAGGTTACATGTTCCGTCTGCTGCATAACACATGACTGTCATGACCAGCAGCTTAAGGGGTTAGGCCTAGGCGTTTAACAGGGTGTGTTCGACTATCTAGGAGAATATCGTCACTTGATGAGTAAACACAAGTACATTTAGCTAACAGGTCTCAAGTCTGGAGGAAACCAACATCCTCCATTTCATTGGTTATGGCATTTGTTTGTGTTGTGACCGGAACATAGGATATAAGGCTTTCAATTTTTAGTTAGAAAGGGTGTTTATTTTATGGGGCAGAGTTGCTAGCTTCCACACCAGCCTTTCTGCGTATCCAGCATTACTTTTGGCTAGTAAACTGCAGTAGGCTTAGAAAAGTTCAGGAATCCCCTTCGAAAATCCCATCTATTTAGAGAATCCGCTGCTTGCCATTATCGACTGAATATCGCCAGAATAATCTTAAATCCTCTTGTCCAAGCTTTCGCACTAAGAGCTGACATATCCCAACAGACATACAGCGTTCTGGTCTAATACAAGTTTACTATTATTATTATTTTCAAGTATTGGTTTTGTAAGGATTTTTTTGTTCGACAGGTTGGAGGATTTCATCATGAACTGTGACATAAGTAAGAGGACCATTGGAAAACCGCCTAGGAGTACTGGACAGCTTAGCAGTAACATCTCTGATTGCAGCGCTCACCGAACTGAGTGACGTGGGTTCGAATCTCGGAAGGAACATGAGTTCCTTCAAGGTGGCAGATATGCCTAGCTGACTGGTGAGTGAGTGTCAACTAGCACGAAAGCTAGGACGTCCAAGACTTCCTACCTGCCGACTGCCTCCAACCATCTAATATCATCAAATTAATGTGCACCATGATGTCAAGCTACCTTGAATGGTGGTCACACTGCAAACGTGACTGATAGGATTCAGTCTCCACCAAATAAAGGACTAGAGACATTAGAGACACACTAGTTACTAGTGTTACTAGTGACCTTGACGTGGTGGTCGGGCTTGAACACCGCAATGATCTATTCAAGCTATACTGGCTGAGACTTATGTCTCTTGAGGTCCTACCATGCCAGGCAGGTTGTTTGGATAGCGGTTAAACAAAAAGCAGCTACCCAATCCAACATCATGTCCAATACAAAATCACAAAATTTCATGCCGGATCGGCCGTGGCCCGGATTAACAACGACCGCGCTTCCTGCTGCCGTGTCACAGGGCGGGAGTGATAAATCTGCTACTGAGACACACCAAACAAAAAAGAACGAACAAAAACAGGCCGCGTGTGACCGGCCTCAAGCAGTTGTCCCCTGGGCTCTGCGGTCACGCAACCAACTTCCACGGTGTGGGCAGCCGGGAAGTAACAATCGCCCTCACAATCCGAAATGCACACGAAACCTCTCTATTACTCACTCATCTTTGTCTTCATCTTCATCTCTATCATCTTGCCTTCCTTCCACTGATGCAACTCCTCGACTTGATAGCTCTCCACTTCCTCTCCACTCTGCGTCCACTAAAAACGATGGAAGCCAAAAAACCACCACCGACAGCCTCTTAAAGCCGCGCCACCAATTTCATATAGGAGCTCTTAATGTTAGGACACTTTGCCAAATAGGACAACAAGCATCACTAGCCAAGACCCTGGCATCACGAGCCATTGATGTATGCTGTGTTTCAGAAACACGCATACAAGACCCAAGTGTGGTTATTCACCTAACCCCACCTGGCCAACAGGTTGAATCTGCAAAATTCACCTTGAGGGTGTCA